TGTTGTGAGTTTAGTTATAGGATTCTAGTGACTTGCTGAGCTTTTTTTTTTAATCTAATTTTATGTGATTTAAATGATTTCAAATATAGAAAGAAGATCAGGAGTGTGAGACTAATCAATTAAATGATTCACCGGGTTTTATTATTATTTTGTTTCTTTTGTATTTTAGTTTTTCTTTTATACTCACAAGTGAGAAAATTTATTATTGTATTTATATGACTCAGTGAGTATTGTATACATTTTTGGAGCTATATATATATATATATATATATATATATATATATTGATGTTTTGATCGATAACTTTATTTTCGCTAGTATTTATATTGATAAAAGAAATTAGATAGCTTTGATTATTATTTATTATAAGATAAAAGAATAATTATTTCAAATTAGATTCTAGAGCATGATAACATGATAGTTACTTGCAATGATCTGAACACTTTTTATAATAGAAGCAATGAATGAAAATGACCAAAATTAGCTTTCTGTCTACTCTTCGTCTCCCTTCTTCCTTTCCTTATCGAGCAAGTCATAGCTAAAATGGGAGGTGGCACTAGAATACTTTAATGTATATAAAAAAAATAATGTTAGTGGCCTAGTGCCATAATGCTTAGATCTAATGATGGAGTGCTACATGTCAAATCCAAAATTATTGTAGAATAGAGACTCAAACACCGCAATGACATTTTATGATGTCGTTGTGCTCTTAAAACTAGCATCATAGTCCTCACAAATAGAATGCCAAAGTGCTCAAATTCAAACAAAAATTCAAAAATTCATATTTTAAAATACTTTTCAATTTTGGGTTGTTATAATCTCCGTGTCTTTGAAAAATATCACCCTCAATATTTCTATCAATCCAAGAGAGGGAACATGCTCAAAAAAAAATTTTTAAATCACTTCGACTAATTAATATTCAAATAATTATAAATCTGAAATCACATCAAAATTGATTCAAAGATGGGTTAGGGGTGTCACGACTTGACCCGATATGACCCTATCCAACCTCCCAAGTATTACTAGGGGTGTCAATTTGGGTCGACGGGTCGGGTTCGGGTCGAACCTGAGTTGACCCAGTTCTAAACGGGTCAATCCGAACCCGACCTATTTTTGCAAACGGGTCGGCTATCTCAACCCGGACCTGACCCATGCGGGTTGCCGGGTTGACATGACCCGACCCGATTTTTTTTTATTTGGGTGGCGGCGAAGCACTGGTAGCGGCGGCCCAATTGCAGAGGCGACAGTGGGGAAGGCCGGCCAGGAGAACCACGAAGCTCTAAGAAATGCGCAGGCGCGCAGTGGCAGGCGGACAAGGTGCAGCGGCCAGCGGGCAGTCGACACGAGTCGCAATTCGCGAATGCCTAAGCTGCTCAGCCCGAACTACTGAACCTGAAGCGATGCCCAGGAGCAGTCGCAGCGGCAGTGGGCACGTGTCACGACTCGCGAAAGGCGAAGTGAGAACTTTGACACGATGCGACTTGATGTGTCGGGCGATGCGGGCAGCAGGATAGTCGAAGCGGGA